CAAAACAGAGACAGACTGACAACATGAGAGAGTAAAAAAAAAGAAAAGTAAAACCTCTAAAAATAAATCCGATTGCACTCTGGTGAAAGGTCTGAAACGTTGCTTTGATGTCTGTAGAATTACGGAGCATTTGCTCGCTGAAGAAACTATTTAGATATATTTCTCTAAAAATCAATACCTCTCTGCTATGATAGGCAAAAAGGATCTCTAACACTGCTTTATAATTTTATTTTTCCTCACACTTTGGTACATTTCTCAGTGGCTGCCAGAAGGAAAATGGATTTTCTCATCGAATAGATGCTAAATGTGATTCGGAATGCAGCTGTTCGATGATATGATGCAGAGCCTGCACTCTTAAAAAGTCATGCGTCACTTTCTGCAGTTTGACGCCTCGTAAAGTTACAAATACTTTTTTTTCTATGAATCATTTTCCAACATTACTTTGAAATGATACATCCCACACTTAAGGGGACTTTTGTTATTCGTTAAAAGTACAAATGGAATGTGGCCTACATCTCACAAATCAAGCAGGGACGGTTTTGTGAGATTTTGCATTTAATCATAAACTATGTATTCTGACGTCATACACAAAATTGCTTGAAACTGATTGTAAAGAGAGAAAATCTTTCAAATAAGATGGAAATGTGGGGCTCATTTACATATGTAAGGCCTGACCAGCTCCCTCCTGCAGCTCTGTAGTCTTACTTAACACCTATCAAAAAAGGCAGATATGATACCACATTTGTTCCCTATTTGAAGGCCTTCTTACCTCATTAATAATGAACATATACTGGCTCCCTGTGGTGTGTTAGAGTGGATTTGTGAGCTTTTGTCTCTGTGCAGTGCAACAGCAACCTCTGATGGGTAAAAGCGTCATTGCAAAGTAACTGTGCCTCTGTCTTACCGGGTTTTTAATTCATTCTGCTCCACTCCTGTCGTATGATAAGATGTCTACTGCTGGAAAATGATCTCTTAATGTCCATCCATTTTCTTTACCACTTATTCCCAATGGGGTCGGTAGAGCCTGGACAAAAATCCCATCCATAGTACACCCACAAAGACAAATAAGTGCACACACTCACACCTTCTTTGACATGTTTGAGATGTTGCGATTCCCTGCTGTCAGAAAATTACACAGATTGGTTAGATATAGTCTTTACAAGCAGTGGTTTTTACACTGCCATACGTTCCCAAAGTGCATTTGTAAACTTTGTGCCCATTTTCTCAATCGTAAAATGTCTTGTATTTCTAAGCAAACTGTGGCAGCTCGACTAATCCGGAGTCACTGAAAATGACCTCTTTCGCATCAGGCATGATGAATTATTTCCTATGGACGGAGTTGTTTTTCAAAAGGTTTTCAAAAACATTAAAAAAAAAACATATGTGTTTAATATGATGAGGTTGTACAATAAATTCTTAAAGCTCCGAACAAGCTATCGAGTGATGACATTGTTAGTATAAAGGTAAAAAATGAGACCAGATGTCCACACATAACTTTTATGTTTTATATATATATATATATATATCCATACATCAAGAACCACACAAATCTTTTAGCATTTTGGCAGCCCTCTTCCATCCCGCCTGTCAGCAGTTGCGGGGTCACGGGGTTGGAGACGACAACACACCAGCTGTGTTAGCTTCCCCACAGTGTCTGCTCCACAGCCGCATGAGGCACGGGCAGCTTCCAGGAGCAAGTGACCCTTATCTGAAGGGGTGTACTCCTGCCCAATCAGAGGGCCGCTGAAGCCTGGCAACGCTACCGGTGTGCAGAGCGCACTGCTTCTTTTCCTCTGACAGGCGAGAGAGGAGAGGAAGTGTGACCGGGCGACTCATCGTCTGCATCTGAATGCGGCTGTTAGGAGTAGCGATAGGAACAAAAGGAAATCAGAAATGTAATCAATCCAGATAAGCACACAGAGAAGAAGCCAAAACAAAAGATTAAAATGGATTTTTTTTAAATAATGTGTATTAAGGTATGAGCTGGTATGTTACAGATGAAGACCTGTGGTAGAGATGAGTCAAAATCAAGATGATTAAGTAGTGCAATCTGGAAAAGCTCCATTTAAAAATACAAAGTCCTTACAATCCAGAGTGTTCCCTTAACGTAGCAAACCAACACACGAGGTTCTCTGGCTGATTACTCTGCACTCAGAGTATCTACAGAAAACAGCTCTGCATCCTTCATATGTCTCATATAAATCCTCGGTATTACCAAGGAGAAGAATTGTTTACAAGACTTGTAAAGGTCCCCTGGCTGCTGGTTTTATCAAGTTGATGGCACCTCCAACCTTGCATATAAAAAATTCCTTATGTGGTCTACTCACGTTTACAGAGGAACATAAAAGATTTCTGCACATAGAAAACCAAATAACCCAAAGAGTGTTGTTCAATACGGCTAATTGATATATTTTCATCCACATACACATCCATCAATTTTTTTATGTCCCCTTAATTCAGTGGCATGTTTTAAGAGCTGCATAGATACAGCAGTGCAGAATCAATTTTTGATGAGCAACACTGGAAAATTTCACAGGCTTTCCGAGAGCCCCCACTTACTCTTGTTCTCCAGCACCCTAAAGCTGCTTCCTCACGCCTATAGGTGACATCCTTTTATTAATTCCATGAAAAAATATTCTAATGTGGAACTCGCAGCCTGTGGACTTTCTTGTCGTTGGCACAGAAAATTAGCACAGTTGTTCTGGCTCAAAGAAGATCATCACAGAATGGCAAACATCCCGGCCCTCGATAATGACTATAATTGAATTAATTGATCTTGCAGCCATCTGGCCTCCTCTGGATTAGAAAGATCCCAGGAAAGAGGAAAATATACTCTTGACTCCATTCTGTTGACTGAATGGAGTCATTTCAGACACTTGCCATCATCACACGTCTCGTCACTTCTGCCACCACTGACATCTTGACACTTTCTCTTGATATTTTTCTAGAGCTCTTTTTTTATTTATCCACAAAATGAATATTGTAACCCCTAATTGGTTCGAGGAAACCATTAGAGTAACTAAGAGTCACTTACTTTCCCATCACTATAGGTTACCAATCATGTACTGGAGTGGTCAACCAAACACACACACACTCACACACAAAACCTGATACAATCGTAAGGGGGGATGGGGGGGGCAGAGCTCAAAGTCAATTCTAACTTCTGCATTTTTATGGTGCATCTGCCTGGTGATCTGGTGCCAAATTGTGCAGTTTTGATCCTGCTGAGGCTCAATAATAATGAAAATACACACAGGACAGCTCCTGTGGTTAAACATGAGGATTAGTTCTGTAACAAAAAAAACTGTTTTGGAGAAAGCGAACAAAAAAAAGACCTTTTGTGTGGATTACGTCCATCACAGAGATCAAACATTAAATTATTTTTTTATTAGGTTAGCAGTTGCAACTTTTCCATTCATATTTGATATCAAGTGTGCGGTGGATTTATGACGTTGCCATCTGTGTTTGAGTGGTTGTGGATGGTTTTGACACTAAGAAGTTGCCATTAGCAAAGTAGGGCCAGTCTGTGTCTGACAGACACTTCTAGGGAAAGATTTCCATACATTTTCTGTCCATGCGTGAAAGATTTTAGCCTTTTTTTTGGTAAAAAAAACAACAAATTTCTCAAATGTATACAGAAAACCCTCTTTTCTTTTTTCCTCCACAAACCTTCCCACCAAAGGATCATGAAGTAGGTTCTTCCTCCATGGAATGGGACCCAATCACAGATGCGACTTCCTCAAAAATAAGCAATTTAACTAGATTCTTTTGAAGAGTTTTGACTGAAAGCAGATGACACAGGAAGTTTTCCAGCACTTAAAAAGAAACAAAATACACACGACAACAAAAATGTTTTGATAGATTTTTTGACTTTTATATTTTTAAAAACAAACAAAAATTAACAGATTAAATAAAATTTACAGTAGACATATGCAATCATTGTGCACTTTAACTACTTCTTCTGATACGTTCTGCACAGCTGTCAACGGAAAACGCAAACACAACGGGGCCGGCGGGGCGGAGCGGGGGGGCTGTGGGACAGTTCTGGGACAAAGGAAGGGACTAAAGAAGTGAGGTAGGAAGAAACAAACGCAGAGAAGAGGAGCGGGGATGAAGAAGGAAGGAGTAAAGGATAGAGGCCTAAACTTTGTCACTCGGAAAGGAAAGAAAAATCACTGAATATATAGATTTCTTTTATTCCTTACATCACTTATATAAATATATTGAACCCTCAGGAAAAAAGGAAAAGAAACAAACTGAGGAAAAAAACAGCGCAATACAGAAACCCACAACAGCAGTAAGGCAAACAGAAAGCAAGAGAGGAGAGAGCAGAGGCAGAACGTGAGAGGGACGGAGAGCAGGGGCAGACAGGCCAGAGGAGGAGAGGCAGAGAGCAGAGAGAGTGCGCAACTGTGCGTATGAAAATGTATAAATATGAGAGATTCAGAGAGGCCCAGAAAAGAGAGAGAGAGTGCTGGCAGGACAGGAGGCTGTAGAAGGGAGAGGGGGAGGAAGAGGAGGAAAAGGTTTGACTGAGGTCGACTGTCCAGTGTGTTTCTGTTGTGTGCTACGTGACCCTGTTGCCTGCACTTGTGTCCGTCTGTTGGTTTGTGTTTGTATATGTGTGTGTGTGTGTGTGTGTGTTTGTGTGAGTGTGAGATTGCATGTGTTTCTGTATAAAGGCAGCACACACTCCACGGCAACAGTGAAACACATGCTCACGTGTCTTGTGTGCTCTTCTGCTTTATAAATACAAAACAAAAACCAATGAAAAAAACAAAAACAAACAAAAAAATCATGTTTGCAACCAAACAACCACTCACCTCATGATTTACACCTTCCCTTTTATACATTTGACACATTATTTAACTCAAGTTTTTTTTCCTTTTTATTCGATTTAAATTGTACACTAAGAGCAGTCCCCCTCAGTCCTCCTTTCTGTCTACCGTCCGTCGAGTCTCTGTCTCTTTCTTTGTCCTTCCTCTCCCTCTCTTCTCCCCTCACTGAGAACTGGCTCTCTCCAGCACGCGCAGGTCGTAGTTCTTTTTGGCGGCCCTCAGTTTGAAGAGGCTGGCCCCGCTGTTGTTAAGTTTGAAGGAAGCACTCTGGGCGGCCATGGTGCTGGGGAACACGGCCACCACCGTGTAGAGGTGTGCCGGGTCGCCGCCGTCCGCCTTCAGCCCCCCGCCGGCCGCCCCGGGACAGGAGCCGCAGCCCCCCGCTCCTGCCCGGCCCCCCTGGGGCTCCTTCAGCCACTGGATCTTGGCACCGCACAGCGACAGCTGGTTGAAGAGCTTCTCAGCCTCTGGACGCGAAATGCCCTCTGGCAGGTCGGTGACCTCGAGGACTCGACTCACCACTGGGCGGGAAGAAACGAGCGCAGAGGGAAGTGTGAGCTTTGGATTTCGGAACTGTAAGGTTCATAGCACAAAATGTTTACTCATCTATCTAGAATGAAATTGTGCCAGAGAATTCCACTAAGGGCTGCACAATAATGCCCAGCAGTACATCCCATCATGCTCAGTGATCATCTTAGGACTGAACACACTAATGAATGAAGGGAAATCATGCACAAAAACACTGTGCTTAACTCGCTCGCGGAGGATAAATAAGACCACATGCACACTTTTGCTGGACTAGGACGTCGCGCTCTCAACTCACCCACATCTGTGGTGCCGAGATCTGTCGATGCAGATTTGAGTGTTTGCTTTTTCCCTCGTGCTCCGTGTTTTATTACTCCCGGACCCTGAACACAGAACCAGAAATCACTAGGACAGTGCAATATCATTATGCTTCCACCACCAGGCAGTGACAGCTAAAGAACACTAGGTGGGGGTATGGGCCAGTGGACACATGAACCAAGTGTCTGGAACCTGAATCTCACTTTTCCATCACACAGGTGAAGTACAGCTGACATTTTATGAATTTGAAACAAGCTGTGAATGATGCCCAAACCATTAGATTTAATTTGTGTTACAAGGTCTGTCAGTGTAGATTTAGTATGAAATGTACAACTAGTGAAATAGTCAAAGGAATATTTTACTCCTAAATAATCATTATTTTGCTCCACTGATGGATCTCAGGGGAGGTGTAACTATTATAACTTGAGTCAGAATTTTGGATTCCTGGAAAAAACATCTACCATATAAAACATTTATGAACCTGACGGCACATTTATCATTAAACTTTAGAAGTCAGGAGATAAAGATAGCTATTATTTTTGCAATACAGCAGTAAACAAAAGGATCAACACTAAATCAATGAGAGCTTAATCGATGATGATAAAAAAAAGTCAATCATGCACACTGGAAAGTTTATTTAAAAAGCAGTGAGTATAAAGTTAGTACAAAATGTTGCCATAACTGACCTGATGGGAACTGTAGGAGGACTGGCCATGCATGAGGGGTGGAGGGCAGAGGCTGTACTGGAGGGGCTGCCCCAATAGAGAGTAGCGGCCGTCACCTGATCAACATAAATCATTGAATATACCTTATCAAAAAGATCAACATAAACCGAAATCTCTCTCAAGTGAGGGGGATTTCAATTGTAGTTTATGGTTTTTAAATAACTAGAACTCATTAACATTAAACTATCAATTTAGAAGACGTTTTGACCAGGAGTGAAGCACAACAACATAAATAATAAAGAAAGACTAACAAAAGCGTCTATTGGATAATGAATTGTTACTTATTGAAAGTTAATGGAATTGGGGAGGTGAAGAGGGGGGGAAAAATAAATGAAAATATCTTAAACAGGTAAAAGAAAAAAAAGGCAAAGCACAGAAAACCAAAGGTTCAAAAGGCCTCTGGGAGCTGACTGATGTTTGGACGGTGCATTCCAAACTGGACACTGGCTGTTAGAGCAAATATAGGCCACAGGACAGGGATGAGGTAAGGCCACGTGTGGCTGCAGGAGGTTTGATCGGGAGGCACGGTGCCAGTCATGTGAACCTGCGCTGGTGAAGGGATTTCACTCTTGACTCAGAGCCAAAAGCCACCTGGCCAGGTTTGCAGAGTTACTGTAGAAATGAGTGAAAGGGCATGACACAGCTGAAGAGGTTCAACACACCGATGGGACAGTTGGATAAGTTTGTTTGCTTCTCCAGTTCTTTAGTTTTGCCAAACGTCTATTGTTAATTAAAGCATTCTACTTTCGTTCCTGCAAGTTGATGGACGTGTAGCCTGATTAAGATGATTAATAAGAACTTTACTTTCAAAGTTCTGTAGGCCAGATTTCAATACAGAAATTCAGTTGTGAAATCTAAAGTAATCAAACCTTAAATATCAATAGTAAATTTAACACTGTTTTGTAACACTGGCATTTGCACTTATTCAAACAGGACGGACACAGCGAGATGCAGTAATCGTGGTCCTTTCATTTTGTCAGACAAACACGTTTTTTAAAGATAATACCCTCTTTTTCTTTTTTGCAGATTGAGACAGAAGTGATGAAAGAGGTTGGTGAGAAATCTTTTTCACGCGCACACCTTTTGGGTTTGTGTGTTTGAACCGTTTTTCGTACCTTGAGCTGGTCCTCCTGGCCTAGGAAACTGGGAAATGAGGGGCAGAGGTCCCAGGCCTGGACATACACTGCTGACACTGCCAGAGGGAGATGGGGTGGGAGACTGGGTGGGGGAGGTCAGGGGACTCGTCAACTGGGTGCTGGCCTAAACAAGCGAGGAAGAATTTGAAAGGTAACAGAGTTAATCTAATTTTTAAAAAATGCTTTAATTTCACCCACATCTTTGCTCACTTTATTTCAGAGGATTGAAGCAACTTTAATGGATTAAAACAATAAAAGATCTTAGAAATGACCACAAGGGGGAGGAAAGAGTGAGCAGGTACCTGTGGAGTGTTGTCTGGTTTGTAGAGGTCCCCTGGTTTGCTGGGCCTCTGCTCTAAGCTGTAGTATTTGCAGGGGTTCCACTGGACCAGAGGAGGGTTCTGGGAAGGCTGTGGTCCATTTGGGACACTGAGCTGCATGACCATAACTCCTGGCCCAGGAGGAGGGACTCCTGACAAAGGAAGCAGACACACATTTGGATCACCATGGCATTCATTGCATAATCAGCATTTTAATCTCCCGTTTTAGGAAAAAAAAAATATCTCTGATAAGAATTCTGAACTCAGGCCGTTATTTATTATGTTCCTTTGGATATGCCGTTTTCACACCTTAAGAAGGAGTTGAAAGAATCGACTGATAGAAATAACATCAGACTGACAGCAAGGCTTTCTGTTTGACAGAAGGATTCTCACTGACCTGAAGACAAACACGCCACAATGGTAACTATTTTTCTGGTTCAAGATCAGCACTTGTGCAAACAAGTAACAAAGCCTGACTTGTTAAATGCGGAAGGAATGGCTTTATTTGCAGTTCCCAACAAATAAAATGCAGGCGGTATCTTGTGAAATTCAAGAACTAGGCTGTGGCTCGGGTGGTTCAGAGATGGCAAGTGTTTGACAACAGAGAGCAACATGTGGCTCCTAGTCGCTAAAGGACCACATTGTTCTTTCAATATACAAACATACACATGAGGAACGTTAGAAATCAACGATAACATGACCAGAATGTGACCAATTTGATCAACCTTGACTGTTTACCTTCATCTCATTAAACATTAGCATTAAACATGACAACATAACCCCCGTGGACCTCTGCTTGAACTTTTCCCTGGATACCTTTCACATAATTCTTTTTTGACAGACAGTAGTGAATCTACTATTGGATGGATTTGGCACAAATTCTGACCACGGAGTCAGTATTCATCTTTGCTCCAATACAGAAATCTATTGATCTAATTGATGAAATGACTATCATGATATTTCCTTAGAAAGACCCATATAATGTTGATGTAAATGCCTTTGAGACAGTAAGCCTCACCTGAATATTGCTGTTGCATTGGTTGAGGGTTGCAGGGTGACGGTGACTGTGTTATCTGAAACTGTTCAGTGTTGGGGGGCTGCAGGTAACCCACTGACGGACTGCAGGAGGAGAAACCAGAAAATATTGATTTGTTAAAAAAAACAAAAAGAAAACATCCCTTTCGAGTGGCCAAACGCTTGAAAAACACAAAGTTTTAGCAGCACTTGCTCTTTCTTGAAAAACACCAGACTGGACACTAAACAGCATTGGACCATCTTTTCACATCCATACCTTGTGCTATTCTGCTGTGTGGGTGTGATAACACTGTAGTATACAGGCATGGGCCCCTGGACCGACTGGCTGACCGGTACCATGACCGGCTGCTGGTACTGCTGCTGCACTACCTGCTGATTTTCATTTGCCACTGGTACCTGACAAAAGGAGGAATACAAATGACTGCAGTTTGTTGCCAGAGGTATATATAAATGGATTTTAGCAAAGCAAGCCTGAAGAACCATCATTTTCACATATGACCACACAGCACACAGTCTGGAAGTATTGCTATTTGCGCTTCAATTCTGTAGTTATTTGAAACTAAAAGCAAACAAGGAAATTGAATAATTGTATCCAATTCATATGAGTGGGAAAAACGCATACCTGATATGATGGCATCTGTGGGTATTGGACCATGATGCTTTGCATCTGTCCTCCTATGCCCGCCCTCTGGGAGTTGAGGATACCAGGGTTTGGGGGCTGCTGCACCCCAATCATGCCCTGGTAGCTGGGCTGCTGGCTGGGTATCATGGTCTGATGGCCTGATATGACAACATTTAAGAGGAGTAAGTTGAGATCAAAATAAAGACTAAACTACCAGCGGTATCATTTGTAATTATTCTTTGTTTTTAACATCTTTCTTGTACAGCATGCAGGCCGGTTAAAGTCTCGTGACACACATGTATTCTGGAGTAATTTGGTCAAATAAATATAATGACTGAACATTTATTGACTTTAATTAATACTTTCAATAAATATAAATATTCACAATTCCACATCAGACAGAAAACTTGGATGGACGAAGGTCTTACTGACCTCAGTGCACGTTAGCTATGTATACTGGCAAGCTTCCTATAATCCAAAGTCCGTCTAGGTTGTCAACAGTGTTTCACTAACTGTATAAATAGTGTCCTTAAATTAACAAGACTAAACACTGGAGCTGTCACCTGTTTTCCATTAAAAGTGCAGAGCCCCACATTTGTCAGAGCATATTTGACTTGGCAAAACAATCCAGAGAAAAGGTTGTTTGCATTCAACCCCTCATGTGGTACACGCAAAACTGAGAGTGAGTCACCCGTTTTCTCTCCCAGAGACAGCAGAATACAGTTTAAAAATAAAGGAGCCTTTACTGGAATGTTGACAGATTTTACAATTGAATCTGAAGAAGGAAGTGGTTTTCCTTAATTTAAGTTAATACCTATTTTCATAGGTAAAACTATAAGCAAATAAATAGTGAATGATAGTCAATGTTATTACTCTAAGCTGAGTTCAGACATTGGGTCACTGTGCGTACACCTTTCAGTTAATGCAAGGTAAAATGTAATAACTGAAGACTTTAATAACTAGACACCAAATACATTTGGTTTTACTGATAAAGTCTGACCATCAGAGCTCATTTTCAACATTGTTGTTTGATTTTATATCTGTATTTAACATCCACCAAGGTCCATTAATATTGTGCTTCTGACATTTTATGCTTAATTTAATACAGTTTATTTTCAACCCAGGAAAATCTAAATATCGCAAAATGGCTTTCTAAACTGGTTTTTACTTTTTTGCAACCTTGTGATTCTACATAGTGACATAATTCTGTCAGAACAGAATTCAATTCAGTTCTGAAATATGACAACAAATCTGAAAATCACAAAAATGTACCGACCTGACTGCTGAGTGGGCTGAGGCATGGGTTGTGTGCGTTGGGTTTGATAAGACACCTGGTGGGACATAGGCTGGGACACACGGTACGGCTGGCCTGAGCTGGGATACTGACTAGGAGTGTAGTACGACACCTGTATCTGAAGAGAAAAAAAAAATGTTTTAAAACTGATTGTATGGAACTAAGAGGAGAAAAATGATTTACCCACCATGACTATGAAGTAGATAACAAGTATCAACTTCTCATAAGTCAAAAATATATTTTTTTCTTTCCATTTACCTTCATATATTTTCAAAGAACCGGCCAGTGCTGAAAGTCATTTGGCACACGGTGTACAGCCAGATAGGGTGTACAATGAAAAATGACTAATGCAGAGTTCTGTTAAGTTCAATACAAAATACTGGTCCAGCAGATTGAAGGAATACCAGAACTTCATTCTGTTGTGTTTCACTGTGTTGACAACAGCAGACACATCAGCGAAAAGGTTCAAAGTTGAAGACTGAAGCTTATACAACTGGACTAAAATTAGCATGCAGAATTAAATGAGACATCAAAACGGACAAATGGAGATCGATAGTTCCTGCCTCTACCTTCATTTGCTTATGAAAATCAGTCCACACACACCGCATCTTCCTTTCCCACCCAATACAGTTACAGTAGAGAGATCTAAAAGTCAGGACAATATAGGAAGGTGTGTGGAGTGATAAAAAACAATAGACACAGGGCATGAAGATCAAAATGCAAAAACGTTAAGATGTGGTGAATGCGTTTATGGAAATAATAAAGTATCTACAACACCTCCAAGCAATCTGCAAATCTGTCGTAGTTTAAGTATTTAGTATTGCAATAAGCATCGCACTCTTCATTGTTTGTACAATATTAGGTGTGGCTTTCGTTTTGGAATTGCTTAAACAAATTGCCTTGTCATCTAATCAGGTGGAACTGAACCCTTATTCTTACCAAATTTACAAGGTTGACACTTTCTGTACGATTTTATCCTCCGCTCAGCTCAAATGTCTTTCTCTGACTATAGTAAGAACCATATGCAACCAAGCAACGGCTCGGAGGAGTCAGGGAAGAGTGCGAGTACCAGGGTGAGAAAACCTGTCACCATCTTTGCTGTCAGAGTGACCATGTGATCTGCCATGACTTAGACTTAGTGTGAGCTTCTGAGAGTGATGGACGGCAGAAGGTCCAAACTCCCTTCAGAAGATAGATGGTGCCATGCAGTGTTAAGATTAGTGGAATTAGGTTCATTTTATCAGAAGCCTTTCTTGTTAGTTGTTAGTACCTACTTAGCCAACTACTCAATTAAGTGGTTGTCCCTCGCAAATGAGGCTCTAACAGAAAGACGGTCCACTTATGTCATCTGCATGTGACGCAAGAATGAGACAACAATGAAAGACATCGCTGCAACCGACTAAACCTCAGTGTAGGGTCATGTATTACGCATTTAAACCTCGATGACCACAGAAATAATGAAATCTGACGTTTGTTATTGCTGCATTTCTTAAATGGTCTGGGATGACTGATAAGCAACTTATTCACGTGACTTCCTGGCCAATCAGCACCCTGCAGTCTGCTGTTGGCCTGACCTAACCCCCCTGGATCCCCGGCTGATCAGGTGCTACAGTTGTAGCCAGGTAGGGAGAAGTTGAAAGCCCCCATTAGAGGCCATGCCTGAAAACTTTTAGTATCCGGTTTATAAGTTTTCTACAACAAGAGCTTCTCTCTCAAACCATTTCTACTTCACATTACTACATATTAAGGATATTATAACAACACAATGGTTTTAGCGTATTCTAAAGTTTCAAGGCTGATTCTGGAGAACTTGATATTAGAATGACCGCTCTTGTTAAGACTTCTCTGATCCTGTACATCACATCATTCGAGTCCTGGCGAGGACAAAACTTATTTTATTACCAACACATCCACTCTCTCAGTCTAAATAGCTTTACCTCCTCAACAGCTCAGATTATTTGTGGTGTACCACAAGAACCTGCTGAAGTTCCTTGGCCAACCAAGGAATGCTGGTCATGTATGGCCCCTCCCCACAGATTAAGCACGCTTTGTGGTGAATAATGTTCTTATGGGACACCAAAGAAATCTGGTATTCCTTCAAGGACATGTATTGAAATCTAAAAAGATTTGAAAGGGAAATTTGAATATATGGGATTCTCTTATCTAAAACTTTGGTGTGAAAGACTTACCTGCTGAGGTGGAGGGGGCTGCATGTAACCTTGTGGAGGTGGTGGAGCCTGCATGACAGTCTGAGATGGAGGAGGTGGTGGAGGTGGAGGATGTGGGTGTCCAGTAGCAGGCTGGTAGCCAGAAGGAGGGGGCATAGGCTGACCTGTGGTAGCCATGATGTAGCTGGTTTGAGGAGGGGGGTGCTGCGATAGTACCGTGGGAGGAGCCTGGAACATTGGGGGAGGCTCAGGGTTCTCACTGGAACCCTGCCGGCTCAGCGTCATCTGGGTGAACTGGGGGGCCAGATCTTCACCCTGGAAGAGGAGTAGTGATGAGTTTTTCTCAGTACTTTCTGTGAAATTCAAGCTGCAGTGTAAAATGCAACAGGTGGATAGTCATATTCATCAAAGGCATACTGTGTTTTTGTAAAATGCCTGGGAGTCAGCAATTTTAAGAGCACAGTGGCCTTTAGGAGAACACCAAGTCAGTGATAACAGATGGCCACATCTAAATGATGGCCACATCTAAAAAACACAGCTCTCTGATTTCATGTGGTATAATTTTAAGAAACAAATAAAATAAAAGCAACTCAACATTTCGAGGCATTTTGTACTTAATTTGGATTTTTTAAATTTCTTAATAGAACTGATGAAACTGAAATTCCCTCAGTGACAGTGATGGCTTCAAAATGTCACCTTCAGTTTGAAGATATAGCTAAACTGCAATTAACATTTTTTCTGGGTTTTTTTTCCAATAAAAAAGACACAGAAAGACAATGCTATTAAGAGTCACTGTACATACAGTCTTTCCCACCAAAACCTAATGCTGTATGAGAAAAAGCAACACTGATTAGAGCTGCAAATATAGAGTGTTTCTATAAATGAGGTTAAATATGCACAACAAAGTAATGAAAAAAGGAGACCAAAATAAATAAAATAATTTTAGCTCATTACATAATAGGGCAATAGTGAAGGGTTTTAGTGTATCAAAGAAATAATAAGAGATGAAGCTCTAGGAGGCATTAGTACCATTGTGTACTGCTGGGGAGGAGAAACTGGCAGGAGAACCTGGGGGCAGGAAGGACTGGAGTAGGAGACAGGCTGAGAGGGCTGCAGAGACGCCACCGGCTATACACGCCAGAAACCAAGAGGAAGTAAAGAAGGAAAGAATAAAGAGTGAAGCAAGGCGGTGAAAAAAGTGTCGGAGTAAGATAAAAGAAGGGGAGAGAAATGAAAGCACGGGAAAAAATTAGGGTTAGAATACAATGAAAACTGTTAATGAGCAGAAAGTAAAGTAATGGAAATATGCTGATTTTGAACGTGGAACATTATTTACTACTCTAAGAGAAACTTAAAAAGGAAAGGAAATGTCTGGCATCAGACATTTTAGGTTATGGAGTACTTAGGAGTGTTTTCTGTATTTATGAATATTTAATTCCTTGGAACATATCTAATAACTAAACAGCACTGTAGAAACCAAGTATATTAACGGTCACTAGATTTTTAATTCAGGGATGTTTAAAATGATTTTGCCTGCCCTTGTTTGCTTTTTAAATAGTATTGTGAGTGGTCTTACCTGAGCAATCATGTGGTTGCCCATGGGGTGCTGCTGAGGGGTGGGTAGGAGGGCAGTCTGAGGTGGAACCTGGGGCTGAGGCTGCTGTGGCTGTTGAGATGGGCAAGGAAGCAGACTACGGCTGGACTGGGAGGCTGAAGGTGGAGGACACACATCAGGACTGACAAGGGGCAAGCCTAGTGATGAAGAGGAGGGAATGACAGTTACAACAAGTAATGCCCCACATTATTTTTCCCAAAAATATACTCCTGTAGTTACATGATCCGATTAAACTGTCAAATAACACATTATGAGTCTTCCAGAAGTTTACAATTAGACAAAATCAAAGAAGAAAATGGCATTATGAAACTATTTCAGCAAGCTTGATGTATATTACTAGTACACAAACAGTGAATCAATGAGTCAGACTGATTTGAAGTCACACAATTTCAGGCAATACTTTTAAACCCGACTAGTTTGGAAGTCCGAGTCCTGTATTTTCTAAAAAGGTTTTCCACAAAGCAATATTTCTGAACAGAAATCAATTGGGTTTAATTCAATTAATTAAATACTCTTTTTTTTTTGGGGCAAACCGTGTAATGCTAAGTACAGTTGTTATGGGACTAGGCGTGTACATACTTTTCTTAAATTCTATTGATAATGAAAGCTATCACATTCATAATTATGATGATGATTAATTCATCTGACTTATTTTTTTTCTTTATGGGACCTAAATGCCTCCCCTCTTTCCTTGAGTCCCTACCAGAGCGAGAGCCTTTGCAGCTTCCCTGTGATCCTTTGTTGCTGCCAAGGCTATCCCCTCTGGTAAGAATGGATATACCAGAGAAACTGCTGGCTTTAGTGACGGGTGGCCGGAGTGTGCGGTTGGAGCTTTCCGAGTCGGTGCTGCTCCAAGGACGTGGCTCCAAGCACTTCATGTCACTGTCTGTGCTGCTTTGACGACTGCTAGACGCCCGGCTGGAGCTCTCACGATTCCCTCTGAGAAACAACAGAGCGAGAGAGAAGAGAAGATTACATGACAGGGACATAACGAGAGTAAGATGAAGCAAAAAGAGTGGGAATATGTAGTAAAGTAAAAGAGGAGTAGGGAGGTAAAGGTGAGAGCTGTGTGCAAATTACTGAGCAGAAGGATAAGGTCAGAAGAGAAGGACAAAAGTGTTTCAATTTTTCTTTTTAATATAATGTGCACACAGATATAAATAAAAGAGGTGGTAGAAACAAAGAAAGTTGAAGAAAGAATATGAATGAAATAGAGCAGGTTAATCAATCAACAGGACATACTTTGACAGGCTTCAGAGAGGGCATTCAACAGGATGCATATTCGCTAGTTTACTGAAACCACACTACAAATGCAGGCAGCATACCAAACAAAATGATCTCCAAATTTGAATATACATTCTCACCAACACACCGTCACACACCAAAAAACCCATCCATATGACAGAACAAACATGCATGGAAAAAGATGTACGAAAAAAAACACCAATGTATGAAGGCATTCTGCTGAAACAATATGACCCTAACGAGTTCCACACAGTCTAATGTAATACATTAGATACGCTTTCTGAAAGAGTAAACACTCGCAACCATATGTGTTACACATTTGACAGGGTTAAGGAAAACACACACACACCCTTAAAAAATAAGCTGGACACAATGTGAAGAATGCCAAATAGAAAATAACCCTTTCATTAAACACCACTCAGACTGACACACACCATGTACAAACTATTTCATTTGGACATCCACACACTCATCAGTCGTGTGATGCCGACCCCCTGGTCAAAGGTCGCTGCCAAGAAGCCCATGTGCATAATGTAAGAGCAACCCGAAACCTCAGGAAAACCGCTCATCGCAGGGGAATGGAAAAGTCGGATATAAACACCGTAAAGGGATGTTGCTTCAGTTGAGAGAAGATCCATTTAAATTTTTAAAACATCTTGCAGAGCTACTACTGATGAGAGTAGAGGAAACAAACAGCCAAATTAGCAAAACTTACCAGAGCAAAAAATGGTCTGGGAGAAACTTATAAAGAGAGGTTTTTTATGTGGAGACAACAAGAGTTGCATGAATCCAAATGAAAGGAAACATTAATGGGATTTTCCTGCACAGAAACAGGGATGAGGAAAGGGTTGTAAAAGCCTAGTGGTAGCGAGTAGCGTTTAAATGGTGGCTGTGCCTCGTAAATATTTCAGAGAGACTGTAATTAATGGAGGATCTATTTTGAGGCCTCTCTCTGCACGGTCTATTTTCAGAAAGGGTGGGTGCGATGACATTCTCTGAACATGCAGGCGCACACTTGTTCGCTTTGCTCTGCAGACAAAGATGATGGCAGGATGAGAAGGAGAAAACAGAGGGGGGATTCAAGTGTTGATCACATGATATTTCTTCTCCATTCTCTCCTCACGACAAATCCAATCATATACAAACAGGGAAGCAGATAAGCCAACTGCTTTTAAAAAAACAGAAACACACACACATATATATATAAGACCCTTATTGACGTCAACCAAGAAGTTTCATAAAATGTTGTACTATGCAACTAGATATACAGATTATTGTTTATTTTTAAAAATACCCACTGTTTATTTACGTGTAAAAAATTATGATCATTTGAACAATAATAAGAAAGCAATAAATCTGGGACAGAGATTTATGAGCTGCTCAGTGCACTGGAGCCGTATACTGAATTTGGGAGTCCTCATGCCGTTCGTTTATGAGGTGTTACTGTCAGCTTTGATGAACTATCAGTAGTTAGGGGAAAGGGGCAACACAAACTTAATATTTTTCATTTTGTGAAGCAACTCCATCTTGCAGATGACAGGACTTGAAGGATATCAGGAGAATCCAGTTTTTTAAAGGTTTTGATCCAAAACTATTAGCAGCATATCACTGTATACATTGTACAACTTTTGACTGCTTAAGGCAAAAGATACCTATGTTTGCAATCCTGATGCTCAAGTGAAAAACATGACAAAATAAATCCGATTCATTATGTAGTTGTAAAACATGATTAATGTTTAAGATTCCAAGGTAGATGAAAACACTGTCTCAGCTGTTGGTCACATGTAGACAAATAAATATCTAAAAAGCATATGAGAATAAACAGAGGGATTGCCTAAAACTAAATAAACAGGACTGCAGAATTCTCACTCTGTGCTTGTCGTCACACAAACTGTGATGTTTTCTTTTTTCATTTTATCTTTAGATTGGACACGTCGACCAAAAAAAAAAAAAAAAAAAAAAAACGCAATATATATACAAAAGGTCCTGGAAATTGTGTTGAATAGTTTTCATTATTTGATATTTCACAACCAAAAGACTGATTCGATTTTTAAAAACAAACACATTTTTTATGCACAACTATGAAACAAGTGACACACTCACAAAAACGGCATGAGTAAGTCAACCACAGGACAAACAGGTTGCCATGGAAGTGATACGGTTACTTTGTATAAAAACGTTGACAGTGGATGGGTGGAGTGGTAAGTAGGTCAATCAATCCCCAGTGAAACCACAAAGCAGCCATGCATGGGCCTTTGAAGGCCCCACAGTGCAATGCTGGGATTGCCATTAATCAGCCGACTATGCCAAGCAAAGATAATAACCACCACAAGTCACAACTATCATCACCAAACCACTTTCAAAAATGGGCATAGCAACACATGTGTCAGTCATTAGCACCCCAATACCTAAAGATCTGCCTCCTCTTTTGAGAGCTAGAGCAGTAGCCCTCAGTGGAAAGTCTGTTGGGGTTAACATTAGGAGAAAATGCTTGGGTTACAGCTCTGGATTGGAGAACAGGAAGGGTTTAAAAGAAAGGAGAGATGGAAAGGGGTAGGGGGTAGAGGTAGACACAGTGACAAAGTTGTACCCCTTAAAGAAATAAATGACGGCAGAGAAGGCGGGAAATGCACACAAAGCAGAAATTAAACTAGCCCCCGCTTCCTCTTTGTCTCGCATCAGCATATTATGCTCAAAGTTTTTAAGATGAACGATCCAGGTTTGGAGACTGACTAACTGCTGTGTAGGCTAATTCACACAGAAAAAAGGCTGCACAAACTTCCCAGCAAGTCCTCACACTGACTGTGTGACCAGGACTGTCAATTTAAGATGAGAAACTAAAAAGTAAATGAGAAAATCAGCTAAAAAATAAATGTTGTTCAAGTAAATAAAATAATTGCTTTTAACAGTTTTTTTGTGTTTTTAAGTCACACTTGACCATGGAGGTCATATTTCTACATGGAAGCAACATATACAATGTAACTGGTTTTAAGGTTTCAAGCCAGCAACTCTGTAGAACTGAAAGCTAAAAGGTCAACTGAGCATAACTGGAGAAGTAACAGCAATGGAGTTTTAGGAGTCACACATTTAAAAATCAGGAGGATGCATGATCTTACCTGTTGTCATTGATGTATCCATTTTGGGAGGACTGTAAAAAAAAGGACACCTGCACATTATGAAATGTATCCTTCTTTTAGGAGCACTTTATGCATATATGTTGAACATGACTTGTTATTGGATCTTATCTGAGGTTAAGAAACCCTTCGAATGACAGAATTAATTATCTAAGAGCACAAGTAAAAAATAAAATAGGTTCCTTAGTTAGTTCCCTGAACTCTTCTCTCTTATTTCTAAAAATTACCTTACAAAACAAAAATGTAATTTAAAATATGGAACTCATTCAAATTCAAAACACAGACATTTTCTTCTACAAACCGTCCTACACGAAGAGGCCTCTCAGTAATAAAATGGCTGCGTTTAAGTAAACCAAAGCTTAACACTAACAGCTGACGGGCAGAACATAAGGTAAATCTAAAAACTCTAACCAGTACGTTTTTTTAGCCTGACCAGGTTCAATACTTACTTCTCGGGCAAAGATCCGGTCTCGTACCCGCTGATATTCTTCCTCTCTCTCTTCAATGGACTTGCTGCGCCGCCCGTCCTGCAGTGGCACGCGGATCTAACCATTGGAAAGACAACTGAACTTACAGACTAACACGTTCAATCAAATAGTTAGAAATCTACAACTTTATACAACGGCTGCGCCACAAAAGTGGTACGGGAATCCACACACTGTAACAGAAGCATCCCGTTATACACCTACATTCATCAACTCTTTCCATGAGTTAACTATTTTGGAAGAAAGACTATTTGACACATATCCAACCCGATATTCTTTTACACCACCAATGACATGTCTAGGTAGACTCTCCTATAGGAGTCAATGTGGTGCTCTAGTGCACTAGGATGAGCACACCCAAACCAACTACAGCACCCAGATTCAAATACTAAGACAGTCGGGGTAACTAATACTTTAGTACTATTATATAAAAAAAATCTTCTTCTACCAAAACTATATCTGAAAGATGCTGCCTGCAGCTTGAAGATTAAAGACAGATTATTATCGTGATCTTAAAGTTTAAAAAACAATGTAAAACTGCATATTTTCGATCATATAAAGACTAAATGAAAAAGGAAAGAAAAGTAAGACAAAAAATGACTTACCTATACCACACAGTGTACACCACATTTAAGTTCAACCTACCTGATTATCATCTTTGTCCATACTAGCATCATCTCTTTTAAGGATGAATTTCTTTTGAAAGTCCATGTTACGTTCATCCTTTATGTGTTCAGAAAACCTTTGCTCTGGGCTGTAAGAAGAAAGAAAAACGTTTTTTTTTTAAAACACAATACCAAAGAAACATTTGACAGAAGGTACAGAGATATGCTAATATAGAATAATTAAAAGTCATTGTGTTGGGGTAATATAAGAATGTGATGTCTGAATGCTAAATGTATTCATTTTTAATATTCAATTTGAAGAGCCTCAAAAACTCCCTGGTGTTTCAGGCGAGGAAAACCTTTTTTCAGAGAAAAGGATGAACAAGAAAAATGGATAATACCCATTTATTCGATTTTCTGTTTCAGTCAAAATCATGGCAAAAACTTCAGAAGCCCTTCATAAATAAACAATTTACATTCATACTATTTGTGCTGGAGGTTTTCAGCCCCTTTAACTCCCACTATTTTTAAATCATGAATGGATTTCACTTCTAAGTTTAAAGATAATGTTGGGCAGTTTGAAAAACACACTTATCTATGAACCAGTTTTAAAACGGACTCATTCAGAGTTTTTCATTTTCCAAAATGATTATTCGGTAAAAAACATTGAAGTCTAAAGTAAATATAGCTGAACATATTTGGGATAAGAACTAATCTAAATCTTAAAGATAAGTGAATAAATATAAAAAGAGTCCATCTCAGACTGATACAGAAAATCAAACCCTGTGATCGATGTTTGGTCCCAGGAGTCATTCATACCCTTTTGATTACTGGATTTGACCATTATTTGTGCATTTATTCCTGTACTGTTACAGCAGCCTCAGCTACATGATTTTTTATGTGATTCCTTAAGCATGTCTGCATTTATGTTTCATTATAAATTTAGCCAGCGTATCCATAGCATAGCATGAGCTGTATTAGCCTGATTACATACTAAAGACATTGAATTATTTCATGAAATGAAACCACAATCTACCATCATTCAGGTACATAATGAAGAAAGCATATAAGACCAAATCAGAGTAGCTAGATTGTAAACTTGATGTTTAAAGATGGTGAACTGGTTCCTGTTGTCAGAGGATAACTAAATATCACTGCTCACATGCGCGTGTTGCCCGTCTTGTTGATGATGACAGCCTTGCCCGTCTGGTCCACATTGTGGTCCATGCCAAAGTAGGCTGCCACGCGGTGCAGCAGCATTCGGTGATAAGAAGTCATCTGAGGAAACTTTTTATACTGGTTACTGCAAGTGACACAAAACATCAAATACTAAGAAGCAGCATTTTAAAACACAGAATGGAGAAGAATGAATTATCTGGACCTCTAGATATATTTTCTGTTTCTATCTTTAAACCTGAACATTTTTATATCATATTTCTTCACATTTAGGAAGTGGGATTCATTTCTTAAATATATGTATTCTAAGGGAAATAATACTATGAACACAAACTGAGGTTTAGGTCAGGATGAGAGTTAGACATCTCCCCATTTCATGAAAAAAAGCTAATATATAACATACTTTTGTAAATCAGATCACTTTTAAGTATAATACTGTAATTTCAATTATGAGAGAAGAAGTCACAAATAAAATGCATTTTTAAATGCATTTCGCCCCTCAGGCCTACATATGTAAACTGCAACTCGACACATTTATCGTATCACTGCTGAAATCTATAAATAAGGAATTAAAGAGGGAAGGCTAAATTTAAATATAAGGGTGTGTTAAGAAGAACATGGTTTACTTGTCGTCGTTAATGAACTCCAGGATATCTTGTTCAAGTTTGAGCAGCATCATTCGATCCCTGGTGAGCCAAAAGAGGAAACAGAGAGGGAGATCAGTGTGCAGGTTGGGTCTGTGGCAGAGGTGCATAAAGCTTCCAAAATATGAGGCATTATGGTGAGTTCCTTTGAAGTCATGAGGTGTTTTTCAAAGTCTGCCTGTGTCTATACATACACATTTACATGTGGTTTCTTAGGGATACAAAAGAATAAACACAGATGAAGGTCAGGAACCTGTCATTTCCCAAACAATATCACTTTACCGCAAATGCAAAAAACTCATCAATGACTGCACAAAGTTACACTGGTGATCGTTTTAGTCCTAAAACTCAGCCCTGCAGAGTGACTTCTGATCCCACATATAAAAACAAGCCTTGTCAAACAGATTAGTGGCTGTTTTTCTCTCATAAAAATCACGTTTGGTCAGTCTTTGGTTGTAATCTCTCACCTGGGATTGTTTTTCAGTGTGTTGACCAAAAACTCATGAACATCGATGCCCGTGGAGTCAGTGTACTCCTGACTGGAGTCTATTAGAAGGAGAAGAAACAGGTAAAGTAAATAAATAGAAAAACCATTTCCTAAAGTGAAAATGAATCATTAGGAGCAGACATTGGGACACATAACAGACATCGAAGTCATAAAATGGCACCCAAAACACCACCATGACATTCACGGATTTTCAGGAGGAATAAACATCAGAACCAAATAGCCAGATATGCAAGTTAGCTGGTCCTCTATGTAAACAGACACACAAATATTGCAGGAAGACTCTCCGCAGGGGATCATTTTCCTCCATTTTCCACAACACTGGATAGTTGGGTAAGCCATTTAATCTCAGCTCTCAGTGTAATGACACCTGAGGGGCTCAGCAGTGAGACAATAATGCAGGTAATTAAAAAAAATGAAGAGGGGATCATGCTGTCTTTTTAAAGAAATGAGCTGCTAACTTTACTTGTTTGGGCATCAATAATAAATTATTTTCTATACTAGCATTGCGATGACAAAATGCTTTTGAATTCTTATACAGTTGGCCTGCAGTGAGAAGTGTTATTACACATATGAGAGAAGAGTTTACCGTTTCTAAAAGACAATCATCACTTTTGTACCCAAGTGCTTATCCTTTCTGCTGACCTGCAAGCTACTGTACGTTCGCTCCAGTCAAAAGGGAAAACATTCTGATATATGCTGGGCTTATATCAACACGATGAATAGCCTCTGGGTCTCCTGTGTCTTAAAATCAATGAGAAAATAGCTATGCACACCACATTTTCAGCCCGTTTAAAAAGAGTACAGACGCTTAATAATGTTGGTAATCGTTAACTATGAAAAACAGCACAAAACTGTTTTTTTTTTTCTTACCACGTGACAACATCTTTCGGGGGGTCTTGTCCTTCTTCTCCTTCTCTTCATTTTCGTACTCGTCCTTTGAGGACTTTTCCTCCTCTTTGTCCGATGGACAGCTAATGTGAAGCTGGATGATGTCCTAAAAATGTCACAATTAGCATAATAAGAAACTTCCCAAATTCAATCTAATGCTTTAGAAATTGGTAATTATAAAAAAAGGCTATGTTGAATACAAATTAACATGGGGTAGCTATGCAGGTTATAGACTGAGGTTATAGAAGAAGAAAGGTACCGATTCTGGAGGCCCATCATTGGAGAACGGACCGGAGGACTCCTCACATACCGCCAGACTCCGTACCAGCTTCAGTTTGGCATTAGACTGAAAAATGACACCACCAATATTATCCGCAACCCTATGATTTATTAAAGATTTTTACAGAAAAAAACTACCCATTTTAAAACCAAAAACATCACTTTAAGCTGCAAATGCAGTTCAGGAACATGGAGCACCAAAAAAAAAGAGAAAAAAACTAACAATTATTTAGATTTCTTTTTCCTTTTTTAAAGGTTTAACCACTGGTGCACCTTTAAGTTAAATGGTTGATTCTAATCACTAATGTTTGTACAAAGAGATTAAACAAACAACTGCAGACCAACTGCTGCAGAGACTCAAAGTTTTGTTGGTAATTCTATGTTTTTGTACCACACAACAAGAGCTTAAAAATCCCACACGACATTGTGGGATTGCAAAGGTTAAATCAAGCCCAGCATAATGACGCACTTCGCAAGCACAGTGAGGAGAAGATGAAAATGACAGCTTCAGCAAAACAAAACTCATATGTAAGTCAGCGTTTCTGAGAACTAAAACCATGAGCAGAAAGGAAACGGGCTGTCAGTTCAAATCCTTAATCCTTTATTAATGACTCAGCTGAGTCATAAATAACCTGCATAAATTTGCAAAAATACTTGTATTTATTCCATTTAACTGGTTATTGTACATTAAGATCAAAGCCTCGCCATTGTCACTAACATGTTCACTAACATGTTTACTCTTGACCTTCCTAATGGGTTTAAGATTCTGAGCCAATGATATATAAAAGGTAGTTTACTGTAAAGAGGATTATAGTGTTAATAATGGAAGGCCAGCTTGTACAGCAAACAGGCAAGGAGATTTCATTCAAATGGATATTCAAAAGTCATCAGCCTGATTTTTCAAAACCAGTCAGCTTTTTGGCTTTGAAACATCTTCGCTGACCACAAATGACATACCTTGGCTCTTTTCCTGCCATGGCTGTGGTTAGGAGCCCGTTTCTGCAAACAGGAATTGTACAGTGTACAAATTAAATATGCATTAGAGATGTTCCAGGTGTATTCAGTTTCCCAAAAAGACTAGATTCCGATAAAATCCTTCAATATGTGCTGGAGTTTTTAATATTTGATTTTCTCCTTTTCGTGCTAAAACAACTCACAGACCAAAGTTTCTAAAAAGAACTGTACACCACTGGATCAAAGCTACTGTAATACCAGTAACTAAAGGTAGCTAAAAGGCATTTATTGTGTATATGAGCTCTTAAAATATATGAAGTCTAAATAAATGTTTCTTAAAGTAAAAAGTTGTGTAATAATCAGACAAACACGTCCAATCACAAAATGTATATAAAAATATGTTGGCATCCACAAATGGGCCTTGTTATCAGATGGGGAAAGAGGTGTAATCATTGTTGACATAAAAGATGGTACAATGTTGAGCTTGCTGCTGACAGGGGGGACCCAACAAAACATTTTTAAGAATGATTTTCAGATAATTCTCTGTTTTTCTCTTCTTTCTGATCTTTGAAATGTTGCCCGTTTGCACAAGGGTGAAACTCCTCTAACACAGAACAGACAAGATGTAGCTTCAAAGCTGAGAAGACAGCTGAGCTCAAAAGTCAGTTATGAAAAATTCTTATTCAGCGAAAAGTTCGCAATGTTTGGCATCCTAGTGTGCAACACAGTATCCCCAGTAAGTGAGACAGTATGAGCAGTTTCTAAAACATCTATTGAAGTAGTATGACATGCCTTTACAAAATTTGCAACAAATCCAACTTATCCTGCAATATTTATAGTAGGGCCAGTGGTTAGCACAACTACTGGCCCTACTAAAGGGCTTTTAGGGCTACTGGCCCTAAAATAAGCTCATTGATCCATCTCCAGGTAGATACGCACGCAGCTGCTAAATAAAGAAGGTGGTTTTGCATAACTGTTAACTGTTAAGTGTGTGTTAAAGAATGAGTTAAGTGTGTGTTAAAGAATGAGAATGTGAACTGGTCAACAATTCTTAAAAAAACTCAAACAGTCACTTCCAGCTACCTGTGCATCCTGTGGGGAGCTGTCGTCTGGCTCTGGGGCCTCTCCTGTCCCGTCTTTGGTACCCTGTGGTTGAGGGGAGGTCTTGCCTCGACTGCAGGGCTCAATAAGCGGCCCACTCTCTCCCTCCTGCTGGATGTCTGTTGCCAGGCTCAATGACATCTTCTTAGGGGAGGGGGAGAGGGTGGAATGGGGAGGGGATTGGGTGGAGGACCCAGGAGTGACTAAGGAAGGGGACACAAAATAAGAGGGAAATTCTGGAATTATGTTCCCACATAAAACAAGATAAAGAGACAAAGCAGAGGGAAAGAAGGATGCATACAGTTAACCGCACTTCCATAGCAAATACCTGTGGGTGGTACCAGATCTGTGTTGGAGTCTGTACAGAGAGTCTGGACAGGAGCCACACGCAGAAAGATGAAAGGAACCCACTAAGGTAGCGAACTGGGCTGGGCTGCAGCAGGGGGTGAAGCGCAGTCCATAGCAAGCCTTCGCCTTGGGGAAAGGGCTGTGAGGAAATAACACCCACACAATGAAGAGAGAAAGGAAGAGAGAGGAAAAGGAATCTGTAAAGTTATAATTATAAACAGATATCAACTCCTCACCATATCTGTTTTACTACATGATCAGGATAAGTGATTTAATAAAAAATTATCCATGTTGATAAGTCATTCGCTACAAATGATCTCTATTTCATGTGATACATGTTATGTCGAACAATCTTATAATAAAACTAAAATTCTATCCACCTTTCTATAAATCCGTAAAGGCTTCGCTAAAATCTCAATCTCTTTGCATAGAAGAAAAATTCAATAAAACATTCTCTCTAGATCCATTTGGTAAAATTAAAAGCAACTAAGATTTATAATTACTTTGCGGTTACATTTCTTAACACTGGCAGAAATGATTAGAAACAACACATACAAAACAAACATTAGCATGAAAATAAGACAATATTTACAGTGGTCAGTTGAACTGGAGAGGCAGCGTTTTGCCAGCCTGAGAAGGGGGTAAGGGGACACCAGCTCAGAGGTCGTCTGGGGCCTCTCTTCTCTGCCTTCAGCTTACTGCAGCAGCATGGTCTTGCCTACAGTCAGGAGCCCTGGATGCCACAAGCAAAAGAGGAAGACACGCATGACGTCATGTTTCACACACACTGCGTGACTCATCGCTGCTGCTAATTCTGGCAGGGAGGGGGAGAGAGCAGCTGAGAGCTGGGAGCTCACTTGCACATTGATTTAAAGGAGAAAACACTATCTTATATCAGCCTTCGTCAGTGCTTAAATAGCCCCTTCTATACTTCGGTCAGAAGTAAGGATTGATAAAGAATGCGTGTTAAAAATTAGCTCATGTACATTCTTTTGTTCATTCTAATCACATTCAGTTACATTAGAAAATTCCCTGTTGGGGCCCGTGGAATGCTCACTGTCAGTGCACTTCTGTAACTAGTAACAGTTAAGAATTAACTACATATAAACAGCTTTACCAATTCTCCTTTCTACCGGTATTTTGAAAGAAATAATGTCAACAGCAGAACTCGTCTTTTTCTTGATATAAATAAAAACCCCATGTGCATACCAGAATGCACTGGTGCCATAAAGCTCAAACAAACACAAACGGTGTAAAAAAAAAAACTCCTACAGAGACCATTTGTGCATGCAGCATTGTGCAAGAGTCACTGATGCATCCATGTCCTCAGTACCACGGAGCTGTGTCGAGGAATGGGTTAGATGAAGGAGCAACTGCGTTAGGGATTCCCAGTGTGGGAAAGACCCAGGCAATGTAGCGGCAGAGGCATCGTCAGCAGCAGCATCAGCAGCAGCACTACATCACTGACCAGGACACCCACATGGCCCAGCCTCACTCTGCCTGCACAAACCTGCCAGACAGCCGCACAGAGCACAGCCACGCTGTAATACAGTCTGACTCATACATTTCAGAACCGTCCCCTTTCCTTTCCAGCCAAAATACTTCAACTGTAGTGCTGCACAAAAGGTGTCAGAGATTTTGGATTAGCAGATGATGGCAAATATCCCCTTCAAATCGCATTCTTAAATATTGTGGCTGAGCAGACAGTCGGCTTCATGAATGAGAGGGTCCGCCCAAAAAAGCTGAGGATCTGAATCAGTATTATGGGTGCTTATGTATAAACCAGCTTTTCCAGTTGTCTATTCATCATCCAATTCCTTTAATTTTTTTCAGTTTTGTCATCAGCACTCACCCAGCTTCTTTCAACAGAAACACACACACACACACACACACACACACACACACACACACACACACACACTCACACACATCATCCAGTCCACGGGGTTGCTATAGAGACAATAACGTCATTTTCAACCGCTGGCAGTCTGTTTAGTAGGTAAAGTGAGACGAATAGTATAAAAATGAATACATGAAATGCTCACGCACAAAGGGGAAATACACAGTGTCATGGGACAGAACAGAAAATTAAGAATGTAAACGGTAAGAGAAAGGACACGCTATTACTGATTTTAGTTAACGCTATTTTTTTCTTTCTAAATTTGGAAGAGACTATTCGAGATTTTCAGACATATTATTCTGAGACTACTGGGTTGGGGTGCATTGTGTTGTAAAAAGTGAAGGAAGTGCAATATTTTCTAAATTATGTTAAAGTTAAGACAACTGTTATTCCAATTTCAAGATTACAGACTGTCGTATGTGGTCATCATCGGAGGCACCAAGTGAACCTTTTGGAACTTATCAGTTAAGCTTTGGTTAGCTGGAGTAAAAATTAGGTCATGTCTTAATAACAACACAAATTTGATACACCTGTATTGATTGGGAAAGGTATGGATGTTTTGTAGTCTTACACAGACATCTGCGTCTGAGGTTTTAAATCTAGCACTTTCCAGAATGACTGGTATCGTAACTGCCGGTACAATTGTAAACAGTAGTAAAAGATATGTCCTCACAAAAGAAACACACACAGCCACCCTGGTGATGATAATTCACTATAATAAGACCAAGCCTTGTACTCTGTGGATTCAGCAACTACAACACCGGCAGCTTATCCAATTTATGCCCGTTGTGCCCAGCTCACTGTGTGTGTTGGTGGGCCTGATTGTGACACCCTCTCTGCTGGTTGTTGCATCAACATGAATGGTGACCGATATACACCAAGGCAACTTATTCAGAAGACTTGTACCAGTTCTACAACACCGAGAGCTACCCACATCAAGTATGCATCAAATCCACAGGCTACTGTAACAAAGATGCTGTCCTGATTGTGTCATAACACCTCTTTTTCAAAAGTGTGGTTATTATACATTCAAATTTAGCCGTGGCTATCATCTTCTGCATACCAGACGGAATTATCAAGAATATAGTTGATTAAATAATATTGAAAATAACTACATTTATCTTACTTTTTTTTATATCCATAAGCTTAGGCACATCGTGCCGACATGAAACCAAACCTAGCACGAATCAGTCTCCATCAGCCGATCTGCAGCATGTGCCTTACTGGCCTCTCTCTCCTCAGTAAGCCCTCCTGATGGCAGGCAACGGGCTGAACCACGCACGTCACACACCGCCCTTCCACTGGTCAGGTTACCACACCAAGAGTGGGTCCTGACAGGAATCCCTTAGTAAACAAGTGTAGGAGCTTGTGGTGTAGGAGAACAACACTGTGTTAAGGGAGACATAATGTTTATGACCACTTTCAATACGAGGCCTTGGCTGATAATGTATCCTATTCTATCATGACCGCTGTCAGAATTAGCTGCTCAGGTTAAGCTGGGTCACAATCTTGCCACTGATTAGCATTACCTCAAGCCAGACAAATGAGGAATTCTTCACAGAAGGTGACAAGAGGGAAGAGATTACTTATATCATTCTTTATATCATGCATTACATAACTGACAGAGTTACCTGGCATTGGACATCTGACTTACATTTCAACCAATCAAATTAAATAAAATACTCTTCTAGATACATTTGTGTGCGTGGGTGTGTAAAATAAATAAAAGAGGGAAGGGCAGATTTCTCAGATAAACTGTTTGGTGAACACTAACTCTGCTAGCAAGGATGAACATGAATGTGGAAAAAGCACTGCATATTGGAATTTCCTCCACACTACTTCAAAGCTGATACTCCGAATTAAATATTTCATTCACCGAGTTGCTTCACATTTCACAATGGAGAAGCATGCATGGCAGACCTCTGCAGAGGCTGAATGAGAGATGAGTAAAATGATGAATGGAGGCGCAGAACACTGCAAACAGGAGAGAGCATGCACGTACAAACCCACAGAAGGGAGTGGGAGAGAGACACACAGGCAGCTCGACCCAATTCGGCTCCTCAGTATTCAGCGGCGCACCTCGCCCATCTGACGTCAGAGAGAACTCGTTTCCTTAAAGGCAGTCAGGTTGTGTCTTCAAACAGTGGAGAATGGCGTGTGTGGCAATGGCAGAGTTTGTGCAAGCTCAGTGCCTGCACGTATTATTTATCAGCAGTCCTCGCAGTGAGTGCGCAGCAGCGCTCTTCTATGTCAGAGAGGATTCCCCCTCGCAATGGCTGCACAGTTCTAAGCGAGGTGGGCAAAAGAGGGCTGGCTGAGCACTAAGGACTAAATGAGAGCCCACGGACAGTCGCAATAGGACAGAGCCTATTATCACTTCATATATAGATACATCGGAAGTCAATGGGCAGAAAAAGATTTTTAGTCAAGGAGGCTTCTAAACCCCATTTAGGCCAGTGAACAGATCACAAAAACATCGACAGGCACATAAATAAAGTCAGCAACAAGGTAAAAAAATACATGAGGAAACCTTAATCGTCAAATGCACCGGAAGACAGGGTTTCTCTTCTTCCATCTACATCTCTTTCCGTTTATTCTCCCTGCCCTCCCCCATCACTTGTTCTCCTCTCAGTGCTATGAGAATCCCCCAACCTTCCTTCCACCCCCTCCACATCAACCCCTCCCATCAATATCTCTCTTCATCCACCCACGACTAAATGTTAGCTCTCTCTCTCCCCCTCTTTCTTCCTCTTTTAATGTGTCTTCTTAAATTGTCGGGCCTGCTGCTGACGCCATCCTCCTCCACTCAGCCAGCCCACTCAGTCCTGTGGGACGAGCTATGACTCATTCTCTCCTTCGTTCCTTCCTCTCCCTCCGTAGTTACCTACCTACCTACCTGCCTCTCTGTGCCTCTGCTTCTCCAACTAGTTATAACTTATCTATAGTTATTTTCTACATGGGAGGAACTTAGGAAAAGGTACATGGAGAGAATAACTCAGACAAAGGAGGAGGAGGTGGATGACTCGCGGACCATGTAAAACAACAGCCTCTCCTGCATAACAAACGCAAGACAGAAACAAGAGGGGATCCCGATCTTTGATGCATTATTGATGAGTGTAAGACAGCAAATGTATTTATACATATATGCGTGTGTGTGTGTACTGAATCCCATGTAAAAGAAATATATTTTGGAATTCAAATAAAAAAGACAAAACAAAGAAAAATAAACCACTATAAATTAAGTTATCGATCTTGCGTCGTAACGGGAAAACCAAGTTTGATGAAGTCTCTTTTCCTTCATTAATAGTTCATAGTGTTTGCATTCAGTCATTTGAGTCAGGCTTCAACAGTTTCACAGAATAATCAGAGCCGGGGGGATTAATTACAATCTATTGAAAGCTATGGAATTCGGCTTCCCCTGAAGCTGGTGGCTGTGTGGCCTGGCATGGATATTCCAAATGTAAAGTTATGGTAGTGTCATTTTGTGTCCAGTGTTTTTAACTCAATCTTTGAAACTGACAGCTTTCACCTAATAAGCATGCTTTGCATGAACCAAGACGCTTACGGAAACAGCTACACATGATTTTTTATCGTTAAAATGGATATAAATACTTTCCTTTAACCTACATTTACCCCCGCCCATCCTTCACAAAAAAAAATCATCCAATTAAAACTGCAGGAGTGGTGGTGTAATGGTTAGCATAGGTGCCTTCCAAGCAGTTGACCTTGGTTCGATTCCCGGTCAATACAGCTCCTCCCTACCCTGTAAGTCGCTTTGGATAAAAGCGTCTGCCAAATGCATGAACATGAACATGAACATGAACATGAACATA